AAAATGCTTTTTCATGTGGAATCGGTGATTTCGCATGGATGAAACTTTTCGCAGAAGAACAAATACAAATTTGAATAGGTTTTTGGACTCTTTCTGGCTTATTAGCTACCATAATGACAGTAGGCAACGTGAGCTACAGGGCTTTTCAACATAAGAGTCACAGCTTCCGCTTGCGCGGCTCCTCCAACGCGGCCGCCTCGCTCAGGCCGCGCGCGGCGTTTGCGGCGCATCGCCCGGGCTTTTGCCAAGCTTCAGTCGACGCGCAGCCAGCGCCACGAACGCTGCGCGGACCTAAGTGTGGCGGCCGAGCGGGGCGGCTGTGACACTCAGGTTGTAAAGCCCTGTACATCTCTGTTAAAATTTTTCTCGAATGCTCAGGTAAAACCATGGCAAATTAATCATTTACGCAACCATTTCTTTTTGGCGTCGTTCTCCTAAAGTGGTGAACTTTTGTCCACTTTTTTGGACTAAAGTCCATGGCTTGCACATCAGCATGCCAAACACATCCCCGACTTTGCAAAAAGTGGTGATACGGAACCAATTTTGCTGGCCAGAACCCAAGTGGTTCCGTTTGACGCGCAGTTTTTGAGGGATCCAACCAATGAAACCATTCTCCTTTGGCACGGTAGGCTCTTATGTTGGTCGCAAGCGATATGCAAAATTGGAGCTCAGGACGTTGGCTGGAACTCGCTCTACGAATTTCGTTACAGACAGACACACAGACATATTAGGTCGTGTAATAAGTTCTGTCCCATTTCTTGTTTTAGTTTTTTCTTGACAACATTGACTATATTTGAGATAAAGTGTATATGCTTTTGAAAGCTCTAAGTCTGCTCTGCAGGCTCATATGCATCATTCCTCAACATAGCAGGAAATTGAAAAAGATTTTTATCATTGAAACAAAAAATCCAAAGAGCCGAAAAATCAATTTTCGACATCTTTTTTCCTCCAAATTTTTCTTGATTTTTATTGGTAAAACTTATCAAACAAGCTTGACAATAATCAGAACAATCTATTAGACTTTTGCACTTATTCTATCATAGTTTGCGCATTTCCAGTCGGCAAGGCAAGACTTTGTCACGGCGATGTTCGCCGTCTCGCGTACCCAAGCTGTGTGGCTCTCAAAATTCGAATTTTGAGTATTTAACCTACGAATCCGATAATTTTGAAGCCACAAACCATCCCTTCTGTCTTTTATGGATGATCCGCCTACCGTCTCCCCTCAGAATGCCTTCAGATAAGCCCAACACCAACGTTGAAAAGGCGTTAGAAGGAAGAATTTTCTAAAGTCTACAGAAATGATTTTTGAAATGTTTCAGCACTCCTGAAGCGCAATATAAGCTAGAGCATTGTTTGCTTACGTGTAGCAAATTGTTCGAGCTTATTCGTAAGGATCCTGACTAATCAGGAAGGCGACGTAACGTAGTTGTCAAAAATGGACTTTTTCCCTGTTTGATTTTCCAAATTTGACGCTGTAAAACTTTTTCGTGTCATCTGATGTAAGAAATCGAAATGAAAATTTTGGTAGAGAAGGCTTAGAGCTTTCAAATGCGTATAAACAATCTACAGAACATAGCGCAAAATATTGAGAAAAAATCGAAAGAAAAAATGGGACAGAACTTATTACACAACCTAATACATACAGTCCCTTCATTTCATATGACCATGTGTGCCATTGCACACACAGTCCACTTTGGCGTCCTCATCCTGGATATGCACTCGCAAAAACGCAAAGGACTTACCGATTGTTATCGATTACATCAATTTGAGGTGACTAGTGACTAAAAAGGAAAGAAAATGCTAAGAACACTTTGGAAACACTTACCTGAAGGCTTGTTTCTCCCACGAATCCAGGATGGGGACGCCAAAGGTGAACTGTGTGTGCAATGACACACATGATCATATGAAATGAAGCGACTGTACACACACACAAAAACACCTTAGCCCGTTAATATAAGTTACTAGCTGGCAAACCCGGCTCCGCCCGGCCCTGTCATTATTATATTCGTAATCAGCATGCTCGATTACCCCCCTTTGCCAATTCCCAGCCCCGTAGCTCAAATTTTGCAAAAAATCGATAAAATCGATATCGATCGATAACGAAAAGTAGCCTATGACACGCTCCCTGCCCCGAAGTATATGTGTGCCAAGTTTGGTCCAAATCGGTTCAGAAATAAAAATTTCTATTCCGCACATACGTACAGACATACATACAGACAGACAGACAGACATTCAGCTTTATATATAAGATGATAGTAAACTTGAAAGTGTTTCTTTCTTTCATTTGATGAAGACATATGCGATAAAAAAATTATGCACTAACTGAAACAGCATTTGTGCGTAGTCGTATGCCAACTTTGACTAAACATAATACGCAAAATCATTCCTGAAAAATGTTGCAGCCATCTACTCATCGACCTTACATATGTAGACCACAAAGCTGAGCAGCTTTGCGCGTATCCATCTCCAAAGCTCTGAACCAAAACGACATATACCGTAAATGGAGAATGTGCAATTTGAGGCAACGCATATAAAGCAGAAAATACCATCATTTCTAGCTTCAACCAAATCCACCGTTGAGCCACAGCTCGAACATTGCCACAAACATCTGAAACAAGGCATTCCTCGCTAAAAGATAAGTCAAACATAGATTAGGAGATTGAAGCCTTCAGTGATTGGTTGTTACGGCTCTCAAGCTGATAGTGAGAACAAATTGCTGTACACCATCTCCGAGGCAGATGACATGCGATTCCACACGTAAAGATATCGCATGTATAACAACACTATGTCAACATTTTATCAGAGCTAACGGATGGCAAAGCAGTTGCGATGTGAGGTCGTGGGCAATACATACCTTAGGCCTAAGGCATACCCCTCGCGATTTCGCAAAATCGTCACGTCCTCGCGACCTGGCGATTTGCCAGATGCCTAGAGATTAAGCATGCGAAGTTCTCAAATGCATGGGTTCATAGATTTCTTAAATTGTAACAAACGCAACGAGTCTGGCCCAAGCAAAGCGCACTTACGACCAGCTATGGAGAGTCGAGCTATGGAGAGTCGTTGCAATGCCAAATCGCGCGGCGACTAAAATCGCGTGAGGTATGTCTTGCGATTTGGCAATTCGCCAGAAGTCCTCAGATCTAACACTAACAACCTGCACATGAATAGTGTGTATAACATACGTAGATTGACAAAATGTCCTATCTTTTGTACATTAAAAATGTGCTTAGGGTGTATGCCAAGATGAACGATAGCTGGCAATAAGCATACCGTACTCCTGCGATTGTCAATATGTCCCACATAAAGTCTGATTTTTTGAAGCTATGTGTTCTTCACTTGGTTGAAAATGATGTCGAACAGTAAGAATTAGGGTATATTGAGCTTCCAGCTTCTTTTCCAAGCTTCTAGATAACGTTCTAGCGTAAATATGGAATTTGATAAAGATTTGACCTATGCAGCGCATATGGCTGGCACTACCCATCGTTCATGTTGGCTGCCCCCCATGTGCTTACAGTGAGTTATGGACAGCCGGCCCAGAACCTAAAGATGCCTTTATACCGTCCCCGCAGCCGCTTACGTGCATTATTCCAGTGACCAAGACCTTTCCAAAGCGTAAAAAATCAAGTTATTCGTAACCAGCACGTTCAACAACCCCATCAAACCAATCTAAGTAAGACTCATGGTTTTGGGGTGCGGATACTACGATAATGCACGAAAGTGCTTAGCGGCGGCTGTCGGCGCGGTAACGCCACAATGAAAGTACTTCAGCGTCCACCCACTTTTCAGCTAGGAAAATGACTGGCATTGGTGCAAGCTACAAAACCGCTCATAGTGCACGTATTAGCTCTATTTTGAAAATAGGAACCCTAGATATGCAATATGCTGGAACGAACCACACGCTATGATAAGCAGATGCTACAAGCTGCGGGGCTATACTTGTACAAATGTAAGGGCAACAAAATTCCGATGAATGAACAACAGGGTGAAATTAAATCCTCACTTTGTCTGAATCAATTCAAAACTATAATTCTTAGACAAAGGTGATGTGGGCAAACTAGAACATGTTCGGATCATCATTACAATTTTGAGATAAACTGATGTAAGCAGCGCATTAGAATTTTCAGCTTTTGTGAACACTTCCTTGGCTTAGCCTATTAGGTATGTATGCTGAGTACTGTCCATTCCTGAATTTTCGAATTACCACCTTCTATATGGGTTTGATCGTTGAGAGCTAATGAATTGGATTACAATCAAAAATTTGTGATAAACGCACATTATTGCAGCAACAGCAGGAGGTCTTTTAGCATAAAATCTCTAACTTTCCTCTGCAAAATCTCAACCCAAAAACCGATTTTGAGCTGAGCAAAACCCTTGGTTTCCTCTAATTTTAACAAAATCTATGGAAAAATAGGGCTACTATTTTGTATTAAACCAACTCCTGGAGTTTTCTTTTGTGCTGGATCTAGACACAACCTTTGCTGTTTTTGCCAGCATTTCAGAGTTACTGTAGGTGTACTGTAGATGAAATTGCGCGTCATTTTATCCAAAAATTGTTGACCGGTCCTTGAAACGCATTGGCCGTCAATGTGTTAAACCTTCTGACGAAGCAGGAAATATATTTCTGATTTCTTTTTTCTTCTTTTTCGCTGCTGATATTTCAGGGGACTAGTGGGCTCTTATGTTTGATATACAAGTTCTACATTTTGTAAATCTCGATGAACAGTACACATTTACTGGGAATCTCTTTCTGGCCCATGAAACTCACAATTATAGGATAAAATTCCATACTCGTTTCTAGTCTTTTCGAGATACGGATCCACAGCACAAACAAAGCATTATCGAAAAGCGCATACATAAAGTCCAGACGATAAAAAGCTGGGCGACAGGCATCCACATTCCCATTCTGCCAGTTCACACGCCTGCAAATTTCCCTGGAGTTCCAGCTAGCAAACAATTGCTTGCACACTAAATTATGTTTCAGGATTGCCGAAAAACGAGGGATGGATCGAAAAACTATCGAGCAGCCCACATCCGCGTTCTTCCTCGGATACAACGGTGAGCCCATAAGGAGGGGCAATGTTCAGCGCCTCTTAAAGCGCTTCCTGGATAATTCCGGGCTGGGAACTCTGAGAATATCGTGCAATACCGTGAGTTCGGAAGATTCCATCTAAAAATATTCACAAAAAGATCCATTGTAGTCGCGCCACGATGCAGCAAGGATCCAGTACGAGCGCTTTTTCTCTGCCTCGTATCAGGAATATAGCCCTGTTGATAAAGATTGCGCAGTGCTGGAAGGTCAGTTGAACTTATCACTAAACTAAACGGAATGATCATATACAAAACTTCTCTTTCCAGGGCACAGGCCGAGAACGCAACTACTGAATTACAACGATAACTATATCATGGCCTGCGCTACGGCATATCATAAGTTGCAAGTGTTTGCTGACGAGGAGGCACGTGAATACGCGGAGCGTGTAGACAGAGCTTGCAGGATGGTTCACATAGCAGAGTGAGCTTGAGCAGTGAAGGCCTTTTCCCGGAATAACTAGATAATTCAGCTTGGGACTGAATGAAACCGTAGAGGATGACACTTCCGAATCCTCTCCGTCATCAAGCGATGACGACGATGATGATGATGAGGGTAATCGAAGTAATTGCTCTTTGATGCCATAGAAAACTGTATATATGTTACAGCCTCTGCGAGAGAGAAACACCGAAGTCCCCTGGCGAAAAGGCGACGATCGCAGCGAGAAACTTCCCCATCCAGTACGCGCTATCAAAAACTTCAAAAAAATTTTTTTCAAAAAACTGATGAGTCTGGAGAAAATAGTAGTTCTACGAAAACATGAACATGAAGAAGATAAGACATTGAAGAAAAGAAATACAACGAGATATATGAAAGCAAGGTAATTGAGGAAAAAAGTGAGAGAAGACAAGGAACATATAGGAATTATATGAGTTGAGCCATTGAACATCTCCGCATGCGCACTTTTGGCGAAATCCGCGCCCACCTTCACTTGCAAAATTTGACTCAATAATCAGCTTACAAGGGAACGATACTCAATGTCCATGGCCTTTCGAGACGATGTGTATACCATTACACTCGTCTTCGAACGCTGATTTCGAATCTGACTTCCATTTTGCTAATCGTTTCTCTGAAAGAAGTTATGGAGTAATTTCGAGCCAACTTTGACGCCCAAGAGTATGGTCACCGACACGGCCTCTACCGGCGCCACGTTATTGTCTAGTGGTTAGTGTGATAGCCTTATAACTTGATGCAGATGTAGGTTCAAATCCTTTTGTGTTTTTATTTTGCACTGCCTCAACTAAACTTGTTCGAGATTTACTCGAATTGTGATCACTGGATACATTTTAGCGCAAACAGTAATCATTTTTTCCAAATTTCACATTTTTTGAAGAGTAAGGGCGTTCAGTTAGCTCGAAGATGCGAAAGAAGGTTTACTGAGGCAATGCAAAAGTGAAGAACACGCTCAGGGATTCGCGCCGTGCGAGCGGTCCTCCTTTAAGGGCTAGCGTACAAGCGGTCGGCGTAAGCCTGAAGCTTCCGTGCGTGCGGCAAGCAGCCGAAGCGCCGTCCAAGCGGCAGGCAATGTTACCGTGCAAACGGCCGCCAATACATTTGCTCGAGCGAGCGGTCAACAATGTGTCCGTCTTATCGGCCGGCAATACCAGTTGTCGCGCAAGCGGCCAACAGTGACCTCTAATTTCTTCTTGTGATTCCCACACGTTAGGAGCGTAAACGGTACCTGCGTGAGGTACGACACAGCGTATAGGCTGCTCTAAGCGTTGACGTGTCGTAATATCAACATTCTTCTTTAACAGCAAGACTGAAGTGAACCTGTGTGTAGTTACAATCACCAGTAGTGACGATGTGGGCTTCCCCATGAGAGGTTCTGACATTGCAGGCATCGATCCACGTTCGCAGAACGTGAGCAGGATTAACACATCCAAGAAAAATGGTCAAGGGATCCCATACAAAATTACTCCAGCAGCAAGCAAGCGGCCGACCTTCTCCGCGCAAGCGGTGAGTATAAGAAGCCGTGTAAGCGCCCCACGTTAACCGTACCACCGGCCCTTGACGACCGTACAATCGCACACACCAACGAGCGTTTGTAAGGTTGTCGCTGGCCGCCCGCACGGCGCGAGTCCCTGAGCGGAAAGATTCGAACCTACACCTGCATCCGCTCATAGGCCTATCACACTAACCACTAAGCCACACCCCACCGTTTCCGTTTGCGCTCCGAACGTATTTGAGTGGGCAGCCAAAACCCGCACAATCCTTTATAACATCTTTGAAGCGATTAGCAGAAACGGAAGTCAGATTCGGAATCAGCGTTCCAAGACGAGTGTAATGGTACACAACTCATCTCAAAAGGCCACGAACACCAAGTATCGTTTCCTTGTTAGGATCGCTCATATGGTTTACAACATCCAAAAAACAAAGCAGCTCCGTTAATCGAGGTACTCAAAAAACACATCAGATAGTCTGGTCTTTTGAAAGCGACTGAATCACAGACACACGACTCATTCCATAAAATTAGACAATCACCACCATTTACTCACTTTCCGTGATGACGCTGATCATCAGAGTCAACAAAAACATTTGGGTGAAAATCCTCCGGCATGACCAGGGAAGAACTATAATCGCAGTGAGAAAGGGGTAGACAGGGCCCGGCACAGGTGGTTTGGAGTCAAACTGGACTTCGTTTCTGAAGTTAGAAGCAAAGGGGATATCGTTTTTATAAGGTCCTGGAAGAAGCGCCAAGAAAAAAAACGACGAACATGTCAAGTTTTACAAGTTGAACGTGTTCTTTCGCAAGCGCGCGAATTTCAAACTCAAGACTTAAACAAACAAATGGCTTGTTTACAGCGCACAAAAAATCACATGGCTCCGAATTTGGGCTATACAATATTACTCCAAACCATAGTATTTCATGTAAAAAGTTCCAAAAACTTATGTGTCCTAATATCCGATCTCGAACTTGTTGGTTTCTGGACCAACACCAAACCAACTGGGTTGGTTCGGAGCACAAATATCGGAGAGTTCACATGAGTTTTGGACCTTTCTGATTTGGACGATTAGAGCGGTCAAAAATCTATCAATAGTGAAGAGAGCAAATCAAACCATTGCCTCTCCTCTTTTTTTGAACCAAAGGTAGTGTAATTCTGCGCGTTGATAGATATCGCGCTCCAATCACATGCGGTGTCCTTTGGACTATGTGGTGAAAAATGCATCGCTGGATTTTAAAGCCACAGATTTGGTTGGCCTAGGAGGTTTTCGACATTCCGAGACATTCTGAGACAATACTATACCCAACGGCAGAGCCTTTTATCGAATCGAAATTTTCTTTTTGCTTTTTTGTGTACTAGATAACTCAAAACGCGTTTTTTTCGCTTTTTTATTGTTATTTTGGTTGAATAAGGGTTTCCCTACTAATTTTTACGTCAAGAGGGACTTCGTAAATTCTCGCGAAGTCATGGGAAACTTCGTTTTCAAAAAAGCTTCAAACCAACGCGTGCCGTGCCCTGGGGGTAGAGGTAACTGAAAATATGTGGAAAGGTAAAATATGAGCTGGTGAGCTGAATGGAGAAAGAATCATCCCACGAATGGCTCTTTCATGCACGTTTCTAAAAATGATTCCTGCTGAAACAGAAATTATTACGACACAGACACATGCAAACACTATGGAGGTAATGTGCAAGTAGATCTCACCACTAGGCTTTTGTAATGCTGAAGTTCCTTTTTAGGATAGGAAAGCAAGAAATAATCTAGAAGCAGTAATCTGGCGAAAACGTGAGACTTTGATTTTTCATGATAAAATGAAATATAGTGTTTATATACGAAGCATTGACAGTCGAAGCAGGCGGAGGGGGGGGAGGCCTACCCGGAAACCTGCTCGCGAAATTTCTGAAGTTACTTGCATGAGACATAAGTATGTGCAAGTGACTTGTTTACTCTTGTATTTCCAATAACTGAGATAAGTTATGAAATTTTTCTTGGCTGCCGCATGCTGCCCTCCTTTTTATAATTCAGGGGTTATGGACCCGCAAAAATTTCAAGAAGCGTCCCAAAACTTTTTCGGAGTGCGTGGCTAGCGCTTTTGTCGTCCTCTCCCCCCGAATGGATATTGGACCACGACTTACGAAGCTGAGCTGACCATCGTTCACAGAGCTGTCTCTCAATGATACGATAATAATGAACGAGAAGATATGTCGAAGCGTTTTTTTTTCGCAAAAACGCAAAAATCGTTGATGCATAGAAACTTTGGGCAAAACTGCATATAACGTCACCAACATTCATTTCCTCCATCGCACATCAGTGTTTTCATGGCCTACATATCAACTTATCATTTATTCGCGCTATGTGGACTTTTCGCTCTGACTGCATTATGAATTTCCGCATTGGAAGTTTGAGTCCTACCTTTTTTTTTGAGAGAATGTCTTATATTGTAAAATTTGCCACAAAAACACCAACACTCAATCTAGGCCTTTCCTAACTCCCCCTATACCATTATATAGATAACATTATATTGAAGTACTGATCGTTTTGGTCCAATCTGTGCTCATCAAGATGCAGCGCTGCTAGCCAGAGCACATAAAATTTCACCCACATTTAGGCCCATGAAAGATTCCTCGAAATAAGCAAAGAATCTATGGCTTACATAAAGTCATAATAATCAGCAGGCTAACACACTTGAATTTAGCGGTTTATGTCTCAAGAATAGCCTGAGATCAGATCTACACATGCACATGGTGCTTATAGAAAAACATTGTTGCAGCGAAAGATGAACCTGCCCACGAGTCCCCGGAATACATGGAATGCTCCTCCGCTGGAAGTCCGATGTCTCTCCCCGCATTTGCTGATGAGAGTACACAGCGTAGTAGGAGCGCAGATGCATCTGAGGAAGTCTGTCGCGGTAATTTCACACTCTAAAATTTTTTCGAGCTCTAACTTCCACGTAAGAAAATTGTAATCATAATGGCTGTGTCTCAGAAAACATTGACGACATCAGCCGAATACTACAGCGCTTCAATAAGCGCACCTATGACGGTGGACTCAGCCGGCTAGAGACGAACTATGAAAAGAAGGAATTTTTCCGTCGCAGAGATGCGAAACCAGTCCAAGTGGGAATTGATCACCAGTTGAAATTGAATTTCTAATTCTTTTTACAGGATTACCCTTGGCTGGAAGTACGGGAATTGCCCGCACCCGTCAATGGAAGGGGCATATTTGCCAAAGTGGACATCCCCAAAAGTTATGTGGTATGCGACTACAGGTACATTCACAGGGCTTCCATCTTGAAAAATATCTCCTACAACACTCAAACTGATCCGAAGTGAAGAAGAAAGAGTTATTCCTGTTTCGCCTGCTCACAATCCCGCAGCCTTTATCGATAAACAAGAACACCCTAGGCGGAAACTGTGAAAAGGCATAGGTCATACTAAAGCCATTATTTATCTCAGCAAGGTACTGCTAAAAATCATAAACGTTCCAGTTTCCGTTCTTGCGCCGGTGCTCTTGAAAGAAAAAGTGCAGAAATGGCACACCTTATTGAAAAATGCTATTCAGGTAAATTCAGGAAAAAACGACAATGCTTTAACTTACGCGTGCATCCATCCTCAAAGCTCTCCTCACTATTCAGTCAAATCGGTCCCGACTTCTTATCAACTTAATCCGATAAATCAGAAAAAAAAATCAAAATCACCTACTTTTTAAAAGCTCCCTTCACTCGCATTACCGCACAAGATTTTTAGTCTCCCACACTTGGAAATGTTAGAAATCCCGCATTGCTTCAACCAAAACCCATTCAGTGCAACTTAATCTTAATTTTTAGAAGTGGAAAAGGCATCCGTACACTAGCACTATGACTAAAATTAAATATCTTCAGTACCCTCTAACTACCAGATAGTGTACCGCCAAACTTCTGCCTTACAGATTGCTCCCCCTTTTTTTGAATTCATATCATATATGCGACTTTTAACCTAGCTGTCATCGAACTTACAGCTCAAGTAGTCTGAGCCGGGCTGGCTTTTACAGCGAAATCGGAATGACCATCACTTGTAATAAATAACCAGACACATTCTATTACTGTAGTAACCTGCGAACAAACAGGTAGAATAATTACAGAGTTATCAAACAAGCTGTCAGGAAGTAAAATATTTTGCTTTCACATGAAATAACGAAACGCGACAAGTTCGGGTGATTCTGACTAACCTTCAGTCAAATAACAAAATGTATCCTGAGTCCATCACAGACTTGTAGTATCCTCCAGAATCTAAAGGCCCAAAATTTTGCAAAGCAAAACCTTTTAGCTTTCTTTTGGCTCCTTAAGAAATAGATTATTGAACTCGACCATTGCACATACCTACTTCACCATAGCCTTTTCTTAATTACTCATCCCCTAAGCCTATCAATTCTTTCAATGTGGCTGAAACTCTATCTTCAACTTCGAAATTCCCAAACAATAGAAGTCTTCTTCACAGTTTTGAAATTTTTTTAACCGGCATGTCCCCTAGCTAGCCTCAGAGCACCAATTTTTTTGAACAGGGGGACCAAGAAAGCAAATGACAAGAACACACCAAAAACCATAGGCCACATGTCATGCTATACACATCACACACCCGCTCATCCGTACAGACAACAAATACACTGCATTACGCACTACACCCACACACACCATAAGTATATCATATACAAACTTTCTACGCACTACACCCACACACACCGTATGCACATCATATATAAAATTTCGACTTAGGCTGGCAATCAAGTGTTCCTAAATCATCGAAAAAAACATGTCCTCATTTTTCGCCATCTACGCAAGTGATCTCGCTTTTGAAAAAGAGCAATAATTATTTTAATTCCTTGAAAAATCAAACAAAGAAAATTTTGAAACTATTGGATTATGCACCCGCAAATATTAGGAAAGCATTAAAAGAATTTTGCGGAATGTGTGACCACTGCCACCCCTAATTCGACAGAGAAAACAACGCCAATAATAGGTTCTCATTTATGCACATTAGATGCGCTATTCAGGGGAAAAGAACTGCATTGGGACGATGCAGATAGGAGGTTGAATGCGCTCGGAAGCGAGGACCAAAAGATCGTTGAGAGTTATATGGTCGAATACAACTGTAAGGAGGAGCCCACGTTTCCGTGGACACCATAACTCTAATTTTTTTAGTCCACATTCGCGCCATTCACTTTCATCACGCAATCCTCGCGCACGCCCCTACATACAAGGGCACAGTCGTCTTGGGACGACTTATCAATCACAGCGCCCTTCATCCGAATCTGGCGATCGAAGTGACGTCGATGCGGCAGGAGATCCTGCAGCCGCTTGTATATTTTAGAACAATTCGCAAGGTCAAGGTAAGATGGAACTCTTTGTTTGCGTATCAACGATACGTTCAGGAGTACGCCGCGCTGAAAATTGCAGTTATGTTTCATAGAAAAAAAAACGCACCAACCTTCCATTGCTATTCTGATTTCTACAATAGCTCGCTTACCACTTCAAAGCACGCATCAAGTCGCCCACACATTTATGGTTGATTAGATTGAACTTCATAATGAAACGTTAGATTCGGAAGAAGAACCACAATTAAAAACAAAATAAAAATCACACTGTAATGGGTGATATACGATGAGCTAGCGTACCCATCGCATGCAGCGAAAATAACAGTGAGAAATTTTTAACTTTTTTCAGGCCGGAGAGCAGCTGCTGTGGGACTACGGGCCCAAGTTTGGAAGGAATCTTCCTTGCATCTGCAATAATTGCAGGCCAGATGTACTCGCAGGTGGTGCAAGAGAATCTAATCAATTTTTAGGACGTTATACAAAATCTACTTCAGATTCTACAGCGACTCTTCGGCCTTCGACCTATCCTGTAATCTCGGCTGCTATATGGAGCGAACTGCCGTCCCTCTCCCAACAGGTTATTGCAGGAGGCGGTCTGCGGGCTCCGCTGTCAGTCTCGGATGTGTTGGTAGCCGCAGCGCATAGAGCGGGAGCGGCAGCGTTGATTGAAGAAAGCGCCGGCACCAACGCCATGGCGGCATATGAGAAGAGCCGACGAGTAGTGCTCGGCACCTCGGTAAGTAATGTTTAAGCTATTATAGTGAATGGACGAGAACAAAAAGCAGCCTTCACGTAAGAAAATGAAAGTTTCTGGACTGACAAACTGACTCGCCATACGCATGAAAAATTTGTTGTGCGCCTTACAACGATATAGCGAGCTGAGAAGTGGCACACAGCTGGCACCCTGGCTCTGCCAGGCTCTTAGCGAATTATGATGGAATGCAGTACGATGACCCACTTCTACTCAATAGGTTTGTTTTCAGTGTCAAAGGTACGAAGTCATAGAACAATGAAAAACAATCAATAAGTCCAAATTAGAAACTGATCTTTGATTTACCGACTTTGTGTACCATTTCTGGCCCATAGCAGAAAGTATAACGAGTCAACGAGTCAACGAGCCTGTTGAAAGCAAACAATATGAAGGTGTCCTAAAAATGTTCCTTCCTCCTGCTATTTTGGATTTATCTTTTGCCTTAAAATTATTGGCCAATTGGGTACCATACCATTCCACAGAGACATTTTCAATACTGTAGGATTATAGGGACTTCAAAGAGTTCGCGTGAGTTGGAGCCGCTGGTTTTAAAAATAAGCATTTCACGCTACCATAGAACATTTCTACAAAAGCGGCCACATGTAAACAGTCGGAGTGGGTGGCAAAAGCACGCCATAACTTTGGATATTCTTATTTAAAGCTGCAGCGATAAGTAAAGCGACCGGTGCTTCACTCTATACTTCAAATTTGATTTGAAAGCTTCATAGAATGGGCCCAAAGACTGGAAAAAAATCAAGAAAAGGTTGTTTTGAATCAAACAGTCGGAACATTTTTGGGACAATCTGTATACTTTTGACCCCGTATACTTTGCAGGATCCTTGCTCACCCAGTTTCCTAAGTAAAATCTTGGGAAATTCAAAATTTAAAAAAACCGATTCCGTTTTGAAAGGTTCATTATCGTTATGAAATTCTCACTTATTTCTGTTCGAACTATCAACTCTTCAATAGAATGAAAATCGTTCAACTCAGAAAGATAGGTAATTATATAAATTCTGACCATCACAGCTCACTTTCCCCTTCTTTAATCTCCAATCCTTTGCTCAAAGTGAGCATAAAATCAATAATTAAAAACGATGAACAAAATTCGTTTATGATCCCCCCTCCTCCCTGTACGATGGTGATTTCAAGAGCCAAATGAGTGTTTATTTTGCAGTTTTGATATATAACAAACACTTAGAAAAATGAGAAGATTTTATCCTGAAACTGGATAATTTACGAGCCCCCTCTGTTCACTCCACTGGCCCATATGCTCGTCATGATACGGATGTTAGATTCATAAATTCATTTTTATGAATATCCAGTAGCTGTGCGAGGGAAGCTTTGCGGTGTATTTTTTCATGAACTTCTGTAAAAGGCAAATAGAACTTGAATAGGATCAAACAGAGCCTTGACTCTACACTCTTCTTTTTTTTTCAAAACATGAGCATAACAAAGATGGAAACTTTTTTTTCAAAGAGCATAATAAAGATGGAAACTATGAAAGCAATTGCAAGAATATTATTCGCCTTCAGCACTACTTTTGACGTTCATATTATTGCTAAGCCTTACATCGCAAGGCATAGGACTGTGCTGCGAAAGTCGGTATTCTAGGCCGGATATTGCCGAGAGGAGAGAATGGGGGGGGGATGGGGAAACGGGTGGAGGGGAGTACTATCCGCGAAATGCCTGCGATCCTGAAAATGGTCACGTAGCTAAAATTAGCATTTCAAAGAAAATGTCTCACCAAAGATCAAAACTATCGTTAAATTTCATGATAGGATAAAAACACTATTTTTCGCCCTTTGAAAAATTCCTGCTGAAGCTAGACCAAATTTAACAGTTCCAAACGATGTATTCGAAACGTTGTTTTTCACGAAAGTATGAAATTATTACCTCGCATTGTCTTTTTGGATACATAGACATTTTCAATTTTGCTGCAAACTTCATGCTGTTCGACAGACTCCTGCAGCGCCCGCGCAAATTTCATCTTCCTCGATTGATATCATAATTCAAGCAGTAGAGCCTCGATTTGAAACTACAGCGCAAACCCCGCTTCTAAACACAGCCCCGTTCACCTGTTTAAGTTTGTTTTCGACAATATCAGCGCCAGGAACACTCGCCCATGACTCTCACGGAGTGACTGCAGAAAAATTTTTTTGTAAACTTCCCGCATCTCGAGTGTCATCTGTAGAATCCCAGAAAAAGGTGAAAAATTGAAGTCAAAGGACTGAGCAAACATCAGAAATTTTAGCCGCTTCAAAACCTTGCCCCTTTCTCCTCTTTTAATAGTTTTTCTATATTCATCACGATGGCGGAAGCTCGTAGTAAGAAAAATCCAAGCGAAGCCTAGTGTGCCACCTAGCTAAATGATAGACAGCTGCTTCAAGAAAAACGAGTTCTTCTTCAGGAAACGATTGCCGGAGCACTCTCTATGCCGCCTGGCGTCACCAGTCTATACCATCTACTGTGTGCGGCGCATTTCGATGCGTTTGCCCTCGGAAATCCAACTATTATTACGATAAGGAAGAATAGGCGAGATTTCCGTCCCCTCGTTTTGCTCTTCGGCTCAGCCTTACCGGCAGAGTCGACGAAGCGATATGGTAGCTGTGTCACATATGTGGCTACAGAAGATAGCACGTACGCAGTGGTAAGCCATTTGATTACTCCCCTTCTGTTACTGAACAGCCGCCATTTTTTACAACAATTTCAATTGCAGGACTACCAGCGTTCCGCGACGGCGCAGAGAGACAGCCTGGATGTAGAATACCGCGCAGGGACGCTGATCTGCTTACCGGAAGTTGAGGACGATCTTTGGGACCGTATTCTGAAGGCTTCCAAAGACCCACGCTCGCTCACCAGGCTACTACTATCACAGCAGAGGTATATTGACAACTTGTCCACATCTCTTTGAGTCCTATAGGGGTTAGGCAACCTATCGATTTCACAGCTTGTAGGAGATCAGGATACAGAAAAAAAACTTAGAGAATGAGGAAGTGGATGTCATTCTTTGCATGACATCACTGCGACAGGAATAGCAGGAAGCAAGGCGAAGCGCATTTTGGCTGACAGTGATCCCTCATAGACCAAAACCGAATCTCGTTGGAATCGAGTAGATTCCAACGAGATTCGGTGCGTGCGTCTACAAAAAGTCGGTCACCCAAAAGTCATTGGCGTTCGGAAAATCTGTGAAAAAATGGGGGGGGGGGGGGCGGAGGAGGGGGGGGGGGGGGAATTTTTCGGACCTCCGTGAAGCGTGGCTAATGCCTCAGGGAGGTGCGCAGAATAGCGGTGCTTAATACTAACCACGCACTACGCGAAAATTTTCGGAGTCGAGTTTAGAGTGAAGCGGCTGAATTTGAGATAGGGCAAGCGTTAGGCGACAAAACGTGGAAAACGCAAGCAACGTAAATCGTAACTCAAAACTATGCACCATTTTTTATTGGCGTCGGGTAATGTATCGGCCCCGACCCCCACCCCCTTCTCTTTTCTTGGCGGAGGAGACGATATGCACGGGGAGTTCTTTGGGATCCAAAAAATTGGGTTTGTCGCCTAACGCCCTACACCCGAATTTGAGCGATGACAATTTTAGGTGTACAGGAAATTCTAGTCTTAGGCCATGCTAGTTTACGGTTGCATATTTCGGCGCTGACCGCACTGACTGTAGCAGCATCATGGCATATGGGCGTAAAGGGTGATCGCACTGATGGTCAAAACACTGTAAATCACCCCAATAAAATCATTGTTTCTTTTGCCGAGGAATATCGATTTGCTAGTGATACGACTGCAGTCAATCGGTCAGCGCTGAAGTATGAATAACCATTACAGTCTGCTACGTCACCTCGACATGAAAACAGAGGAAGCGCCTGGTTTATTCAGTGATGGGCAGAGTTAGAACGATACTTCTCTTGTGACAGACGTACGAATCTTTCTGTAAAGTTGAAAGCTTATTGAGATTTTAATTGAACAATTTTTTTGAAAACAATTAGTGAGTGAAGAACTACTTGTCGCCGAAAGTGGTGATCACATGCGTACATCTGCAACAACTACGTACCTCTTGCAGCGGTGCGTACTTGTTGCAGATGGGTGCCTCTTCAACGACGTTTAGTTCCGTACCCACAGTTGGTTAACCCAGACAAACCGATTCCATGAACAAGGCAATTTTTTCTGAAAAAAGGAATGATTTCCGCATTTGCCGCCATCTTCAAACTAAAGATCAGACAGCCTTGAGTGGTTGACGCTATCACAAATCAAAATATCATCAAAACTTGAGACTAATTCAGAAGATATTCTTGATATATTCGAAAATGCGATAACCTAAGCTCCCACAAATTCTGATCTGGGTAAAGTTGCAAAATAGCTACAAATACTATGCTGAGTTTCAACACGGTGCAGATCTAGGAAAGGACGAAGAGGGAATAGCAGATACGAGAAGAAAATAAGAGAACGAGGAGAGGGTAATAGAAATGCTTTCAGAAAAGCAATATCATTCGGTTCGGTCCAAAGTAGAGTACCGTCCCCAACACAATGGCGTCCCCTACAGGGGGAGAATGCATGCCGTGTACCATTGCGCAGCACCGCAGTCAGCTTGCTATCTTACATTGAACACTTTATTTAGACAGTTCACTGTTTTGATAACAGGTTCGATGAAAATTTTCGATTTCGCGGCGCGTCACAAGCTAGAAGGAAAGTGATTCAAGATGTTATATTCCCTTCAGTTTTTCACAACACCGGAAGTCTATTTATTCACTCGCGCTCGAGATATTAACTGGCGCAAGCATCTCTGCTCAGCCCCTGCCAACCACAACTTTACAGCACTCATTAAGCCAGTGTCAGTCATTCCCGTGCCAGAACAGCAAGATCTCGGAGTGGATGACACTTGCATACAGTGGTCGTTGTTCGTTCCCAAGTTTTAAAATCACCATCCTCCCATAGTGAAGATTATGATACTCCGAGCTGCTTGGTAGTGCGCCCCCTACTCAGAAGCAGAAGCGATCTCAAAGGAGGCATTTAGGAGCAGTAACTCAACCTTCTAAAGCAGTATTGCCCATCTAAAAGATGCCCACTGATGCGTATATGGCAAAGTACAGTCCAGGCACACGTTATGTGACCATGCTCTTGTTTCATACGATGGGACTTGATATTGGATATGACGAGACTAACGCCGAAGCATTCGTCCACACTGACCACAAAGTGAAAAAGGCGCCATCTGAAAATAGAGCCAAGGAGAGGCCAGTGATCAACATATGAGATATAAACATCTGGCGGACGGTGCGAAACAGCAATTTTACTCCACTTGGGGGAGGAAGGTTAATATTTATTAACCTTCCTCCCCCAAGTTATTATTTAATATTTATTTATTTAATATTTGGCATACAGTGAGTTCCCGGTTTGAGCGGAAATTAGATTGGCCCATGTCTGCGTCTCCCCAATTCTCTTGTCTTCTGTGCCTGGCAAAATACCAGCGCTGTGAGCGCAAAGCCTCCAGCCATTCCCGCTGTTCCAGATCAAATGTCCCGCCTACTCCAGAATGAACAGACTGTACTACTCAGAGTTGACTGCACTGAATCTCCTATACCGCAGTGGGCCAAACCCCGCGAGGTGCCTGGCGTGCGGCTGCCGCGGTGGCTCGCGGACTAAGCATAGCCATGGTGCCCGTAAGTCACCACAACGCCAATCCTCAGTAGTCGCGTGCCAGCGAGCGGTCACCCTGCGGAAATACGCGCGACTCCGCGCAGTTGACTTTATGTGTAGGGTATTGCACTCGCACGATAAGGTTAGTTGGAGTTTACCATAAACACGTGGTAAGAGGTCATAATTACCGATCTGGTTGTATCAGACCTGAGGTATGGTACAAGGGGTAATGTTGAACCATTTCGAGAAGCTGATAACCTTCCGTTTGGTATGGCCGTTTTGCAGGTGTGAAATCAGTCTGAAATTTTTCTGGAACATTTGAAAGCAGTGTCCGGGAAAGTAAATTTTGAGATTCTGTGCTCACTTGGGCCTATTCGCTGTGCTGAATCCGAAAATCCACATTAGAGAGCGCATAAACGGCGAAAAAGCGCCCTAACGCAGGGGGGGGGGGGGAATCAGTAGGTGGGCGGGGTCTATCCCACTGTCAATTCAAGCTTCCAGCTTCCGAAATCTTCTCGATTCCGTTAGCCGCCCTGACATCGCCAACAGCCAAGTGCGAACGTGTGACTTGAAATTGGAACTGAGAAAATCGCTCCTGAAGCTGGGAGAGTGACCTCATGGGGAGAGAGCCCCGCCCCGCACGCATTCAAGGAGAGTATATGTTGTATGGCGATCACCTATACACCAATCATCATTATAGGAAAGGCCACAGCCTTTCATATTTAGCCCCACCCGCCGCGATCATTACGCGGGTGATCACCTATACTGTGGCTCCACGTGTAGAATGAATCACAGCTAGTAAGATAAAGATGCGAGACTCGCCTTAGCAAAGTGAAAGAGAAAAGAGTGACTTTTGACTGATTTGAGTATGCATGAAGTGGTAACTTCATGCTATACCGTCTAGCTGCAAGTTTGTTTTGTTTTCAAAAAGACTCTAAAAGCTGTATGATCACTTACTCCAGCTACAAACGGATGAAGGTTTGGCAGCTTATAAGCTGGCAAGCAGTGGCGGCCCCGGGGTGGATCTTCGTTCGGGGGGGGGGGGGGGGGGAGGGGGGGGGGGGATTTATTTATGAAGGTGTCTGAGTTAGCCAAGCCAAGCACTCCGAAAAATACTTTGAGGCTTCCCAATTTTTGCGAACCCATAAACCCCAAAGTTTTAGAAAAAGAGGAGGGCAGCCACGCCCCCCAAGAAAACTTTAGAACGATAGTTTGGAATTTTGAAATTTAAAAAAATATTCTAATTATTTACAAGCTTGAGCATGTCACTTTATTTCTATGAATCGCGTGAGCGACTTTGGAAATTTCTCGGCCCATTCTCAGCCCCCTTCCCCCGTTCCTCAGAGGCACCGCGTCCTCCCTTACCCCCTCAATCCGCCACTGGAATAATGCGAGATCTGCGAAACCAACGCTCAATTTTGCTAGTGAGTTTTCTAAGTGTAAATGGATCATAACTGGCAGACTAACATGAAACACAATACTTGTAGTGGACTTTATCTTACAAGAATGATATCATGTTGCATGCTCATTCATTTCCCCGTACAGCTCTTTTGTTTCGATATCACAAGCACGGAGCGGAGGCAGGGAGAATCAGAGTTTCGCACTGAATCGGACTGTAAACGCGGACGGGATGGATGCTCTTGTTTACAAATGACTTGTGGCCAGCATGTAAGAATTAACAGTCGAGTGGAATGCGAGAAATGATGTCAAAATTAGCGCTAATCCAATGACTGGCCACACTCTCTTGAATAGAGAGCATGCACATGAATGTTCCTTTGAATTCTGAGAAGAAAAACAACAATAGGATGATGACGCTATGTTCGGGATAGAGACAATTGCAGAGGCAAACATGAGCAGATGCACATACCCATTACAAACACTGCCAAGAAGGAAGGACATAGAATTCCAGATGTGAATGAAAAATGTTCCAGTGTAGGGTTGAAAGACAATACCCGCAGTCTGCTTGCTGGACTTTGTAACACAAAAAAGACAATATTGTATGCGCTGTCATTTTCGCAATTAGAGCAAAAATAGAGAGATTTGAAGTGTGATGGTATGTCGGACAGTAATTCGTGGAAATGAAGAAGCGATGTCGAGAATTTGCCGCGCGCGTCGCCTTCAAACCCTATTACCCTCAGCTTTGCCCAGGCACTGCTTTGAACTGACAGCTCGTTCGCAAGCAGGTGAAGGTCCCACAAATCTCTAGGAATTCTTTGTTCAAGACAGTGGAAGTCTTCGATTGTATTACTCAAAAAACAAGGCACCCCATAGATTCTGTCA